ATTTTGCTTTAAATTAGTTACTTTTTAATCGTTGTTTATTTGCAGGTATCTATAAAGCCTCTAAACCGTCCAAAGTAAGTGTGGACAATAATAACGACGACTTGTTCAGGTAGAAAATTGCATGTACATATGTGTCAATTAACAAATACTGAAAATTCTCGTAGTGATGAAAACTCGCCTGCGCCCAAAAACCAAACTCAGAAACAAACTAAACATCAGTACAATAAATAGTATTATGCACAGTAAAGAACTAGTACAAAAGGCTGAGGCACATTACATGTGCTCAGCAAAAACAGATCTCAAAGATGTATGATTTTTTTTACAAACGTTTTGTATACAATTAGGGGATATAAAAACTTTTCGTTTTTGATANACAAACGTTTTGTGTACAATATTTTTGATACTTAGGTTGTTCACACTTGCTTGGTTATCAGGTTATCTGGTTAAAAATTATTATTCTGTAGTGTATTTTATTGTTGTAAACTGAATAAAAAATATAACCACATAACCAGATAACCTGATAACCAAGCAAGTGTGAACAACCTAACTTTTATTTAAACGCATAAAATGTCTGAATTTGTTGTTTTATACATCAAAATGTTTGATATGAATTGAATTAATATCAAAACTATATACAATGCTTATAACTGTTTTTTATACGATACGTTAATTAATTTATTTAAACGCCCAAATTTTTTTTGTGTAAACTTCAAATATTCACGTAGCACAGTAAACCATATTATTTGGTATTTTACCTGTAAATTTAATAAAATCTCGTTTTATTGATAAACATTTTTTTGGTAGTTTGCAAACTGCTTTGGTAGGCTTTTTGGTACCTTAAAATATTCTCAAGTGGCAACGCTGTTCGGCACTTTATTTTACTTCATTTTCCACAAATTAGATTTATCTCCAAAATAAAAAAAAAATTCTTTGAAATAAATGATTCATTTAACCAAAATCAACAATTTTCTGTTAAAATTCTTCTTAAGCTGTTAGTATAGCAAATTAAATTTTCTCGCAAAAAGCTACTAAAAAGGCGCTTAATAAACTTCCGATCTGGCATCGGTTATTTGGAAGAAGCCAATTTGAATTTCATTTTCGCATGTATGTATAGCTGTAAAGTGCACAGAAATGAATGAACCTCGACACATTAGTCTCTTCAGGCCGTCTGAAACCGGGCGAGAGGGGAAGTGAGTAGTACTTTGCCTCAGCCTCTCTTGATGCTGATGACTTTGTTGCTGCGTGCGTGAATATTAGGTTCACCTGTTCATCGTAAATAACGAGGTATAAATCATAAACTAAAAATCAGTATTCGTACATCATGAATTAGAAGTCGTAAATTATGAATCATGAGTCTTAAATCACAAATCAAAAGTTTTTAATCACAAAATTTTAAATAAAAGTCACATTTTGTAAATTACAAGTCATAAGTTATAAATCACGATTTAAAATGCATAAATCAGATTCCATAAAGAAAAAGAAGGTAAATTTTAAAACACAAATCAAAGATCACGAGTCAAAAACAATTAAACACAAATCATAAATCAAGAATAATATACCATATATCGATGGCTGAGTGGAAGATCGACCTATCTCAGCAGCCGATTCAAAAATGCCCTATCTCAACATATTTTCAACCAAATTATAAGATAGGGAATTTTGCAATCAAATTCTCAAATAGCGCGTTCTTCAACCGATTTCTGAAGTAGGGCGATCTTAAAAAGTTTTCTGAAATATGATGCTTTCGAACCGGGTGCCGAGATAGATCGATCTTTAACTCAGCCGTCGATATGTACGTATGTATATCAAAAATTTGAAATTATGAACCGTGAATCACAAATCCTTAATAACGATTCACAAATTTAAGGTCATTTTGAAAGCCCTTAAAATTTTAGAGTCAATGAAAACAAATATTGAAAACCTAATCTCTCCATTCAACTAACTTGTGTACATTTTTCAACCGCAGATATATCAATGCTTCTGATTACCTTTGATTTTCCGGCAATTGTACCTTTTTTTGCCGCCCACCACTGACGATTGTTCAACCTCGCTTGCTATGTACACTCCTCGTCATTTGAATAGCATACCCTTTGATGCTTGGTATTTACGGTTTTACTTTTGCTTATTTAATACTCTTATATTTTTTATTCAACTTNGATTACCTTTGATTTTCCGGCAATTGTACCTTTTTTTGCCGCCCACCACTGACGATTGTTCAACCTCGCTTGCTATGTACACTCCTCGTCATTTGAATAGCACACCGTTTGATGCTTGGTATTTACGGTTTTACTTTTGCTTCTTTAATATTCTTACATTTTTTATTCAACTATAGCATATTATACCCTGCAGTAAAATTTAGAGACAGTCTCTTAAAGCGCTAGTTCCACCCTACACATTTCAGAACCATCTCTGATTTAGTGCAAAACGGCTGCAGAGAGGGACAGTTAAAACTTTCGTTGGGTTAGTTGCGCTCTGTTGATTATATAGAAAAACGTTATATGAACAGATTAAAGGAATTGTAATTTTTAATTTTTTTAAATTTGTTTGAGCAAAATCGGACTAGTGGTTCTCGAGTTATGTCAAAAAAAGACCACCAAAGGTGACAATTTCCCCTATATGATAGTTATATATATATCTCGATTCCTAGACGTGACCCAGCGAAACGCCGGGACACGTATAACTTCTTTTTTACCGATATAACTTTCCCCGGTAGTTTGAATCCTTCCCGATCACTGAACCCTACCATTTGTCTCACAGTGTAATATTTTGAGAAAAATGTCGGATTTCGGGTGCAAGTTTCAAATAGCTACAAAACACCGTTGGTTTTTGAAATTATTTTTTTTGTTGCTGGTAATTTTCGTGAATATAAAAGATCTGTCTGGTAGAAAATGTATAACATCGTNATAACTTTCCCCGGTAGTTTGAACCCTTCCCGATCACTGAACCCTACCATCTGTCTCACAGTGTAATATTTTGAGAAAAATGTCGGGTTTCGGATGCAAGTTTCAAATAGCTACAAAACACCGTTGGTTTTTGAAATTATTTTTTTTGTTGCTGGTAATTTTCGTCAATATAAAAGATCTGTCTGGTAGAAAATGTATAACATCGTAAAAAAAAAATATTATATATTTCATTTATTTAAATGGTTTTTGTTATTACAATATGCTCCAGTTTTATAAGAAATAGATCGCTCTCACCCGCTTCGCTGTGTGTATGAAACTTCTACGTGCTTCATTAGGTGTAATTTTTTTTTAATTTTAATTAAACTCATCTTTACNTTATAAGAAATAGATCGCTCTCACCCGCTTCGCTGTGTGTATGAAACTTCTACGTGCTTCATTAGGTGTAATTTATTTTAATTTTAATTAAACTCAACTTTAATTAAAATATGCGAAAATCAAGGGACTTTAAATTTTCTAAATATCTTCAAAATATTTTCAAACTAAAACTATCTTAAACTTCTCACTTGTGATACTTTTTCATACTTATGTACATGTAGCTTAGAAATGAAGCCATTTAAAAATCATTTCGATCGATACGTATATTGTAATAATTCATTGAAATGATTGAAAATTTACTTTTTAAACCATTAATTCCTATAATTCAAGTTGAATTTGAATTTTCAAACATGCGGAGTCCCTGCTATATATATGTGTCTTAGAAATAAAACCTTTTCAAGAGTCTCTCGGTTAAAACCTATATTGTAATAACTCATTAAACTTATAATATGATTGCATGCGAATTTAGATTTAGAAGAGGTGGCAACCCTCTTCAAAAACCTCAGAAAACTCTACATGTTCAAGCTGAACATTTATAATTTAAAGTCGTCTTTTAAAACAGGTGGCAACGCTCTTCGAAATATTTTTCTCCTAAATCCCTATTAGATACTTCTTGTCTGACGTCCATATTGTGATGAATATTCCAATTTTCAAATTCCTTTAATTAAAGAAGAATTTAATATCTCAAATAGGTGGCAACCCTCCTACATGTAGTTTAGAACTAGAAACCCTTATCAAAAACCATATTCGTGTAATTAATTTAATTTTAAATGAATTTAATTTTTAAACGGGTGCCAGCGCTTGTAAAGCACCTAAGTACTAGTTTAAACGTTCAATATGAAGGTTTCTTAGCGATCTTTCATTTAACACCCATATATTAACTTTTTACATCGCTTGCTAATAATTAATTTAAATTTGGCGTTTCCAACAGGTGGCAACCCTTTCCAAAATACTTGCAAACTACAATTTTTTTAAGCCTCTTATCATCAATTCTTTAACATAATGTTCAAATAAATAATTCCCTTAATTCAAGTCGAATTTGATTTTTTCAACAGGTGGCAGCCCTCCTCCATGAGTATGGAATCGATTTTATATACATACATATATGCCAAGTTCCTGTGCTCTATCAAAAATATTTTCTGAGATATGATATGTGGTATGATAATTTCGTTTTATAGGAGGTGCCACGCTCCATCGTATAATCGAGATTAAATCTATCCTATATTTTAAGTTGGGCTAAATGGCACCACTGTTCAAAATGAAATGGGAATATTAGTATAGTAGAATATTAGAATATTAGTAAGGATTAGTGAATATTAAATAAAAGGCAAGACATGAATACTAAGGATAAAAAGGGTGAGCTATTCAAATGTCGAGGAGTGTATATACTACATATACTAAGTACCTAATAACAAATAACGCATTTGACATCCACAAACAACATGACCATCAAGTTGTGCTTAAATTATAATGTTTACTTATTTTAAATACGAATAGCAAGGGTCTAATCGTATTTAAATGNCCCTATCAAGCTGGCATTTCAGGGTACTATTTTATATATATATAAGGAAAATTTGAAAGTTAGGGGGGGAGGCTCGAGCACCCCCCTGCCCCTACCTGGCTACGCCCATGATTTAATATCTCAAATAGGTAGCAACCCTCCTACATGTAGTTTAGAACTACAAACCCTTATCAAAAACCATATTCGTTTAATTAATTTAAATTAAATGAATTTAATTTTTAAACGGGTGGCAACGCTTGTAAAGCACCTAAGTACTAGTTTAAACGTTCAATATGAAGGTTTCTTAGCGATCTTTCATTTAACACCCATATATTAACTTTTTAGATCGCTTGCTAATAATTAATTTAAATTTGGCGTTTCCAACAGGTGGCAACCCTTTCCAAAATACTTTCAAACTACAATTTTTTTAAGCCTCTTATCATCCATTCTTTAACATAATGTTCAAATAAATAATTCCCTTAATTCAAGTCGAATTTGATTTTTTCAACAGGTGGCAGCCCTCCTCCATGAGTATGGAATCGATTTTATATACATACATATATATATATATATGCCAAGTTCCTGTGCTCTATCAAAAATATTTTCTGAGATATGATATGTGGTATGATAATACCGTTTTATAGGAGGTGACACGCTCCATCGTATAATCGAGATTAAATCTATCCTATATTTTAAGTTGGGCTAAATGGCACCACTGTTCAAAATTAAATGGGAATATTAGTATAGTAGAATATTAGAATATTAGTAAGGATTATTGAATATTAAATAAAAGGCAAGACATGAATACTAAGGATAAAAAGGGTGAGCTATTCAAATGTCGAGGAGTGTATATACTACATATACTAAGTACCTAATAACAAATAACGCATTTGACATCCACAAACAACATGACCATCAAGTTGTGCTTAAATTATAATGTTTACTTATTTTAAATACGAATAGCAAGGGTCTAATCGTATTTAAATGTCAAAAGTGTTCAAGCAGAAATGCGGCACTCGGCGGGGTACACACACAGCACAAATGGGCCTTGGCCTACGCGAATATGTGTAGAAAGCCAGCATATTCAAGGAACATAGAGCAATCGCAGAGAGTGGGAACCAATGAGACTTCGCTTTGGAGTGACACCAAGGCGAGAATGAGAATTTACCGGCTTTCGTTTTATAGCAGTTTAATTACTGTTATGACTGCAGGGTGTATAGGTTGCTTTTTATTTTGCGCCTTTGTGCCAGTGTTTAGCTGCTGTCAAAAGCACACCATGCAACTTTGGTAAAATTTCATTTTTTTATTAACATAGTTCTTTTAATTAAATATTTGCATGCGTACTTAAATATACATATTAATGGCGTGCGTTAATATGGAAAGGCAAATTCCATTTTTAAGAATGTTTATGAGCGGTATTCTTAGAAGTAGCGGGTGGGTAAATAAATATGAAATTTCATATAAGAGGTCCCAGTAGAGCAACAAGTGTTTTTAATAAAAAAATACTAAGAGGTGTTTAACTAGCGACCGATATTTTAGCCTTAAGAATTTAATTATCCAGACATTGCAATTAAATCAGCAGTCACATCTCTATGTACATATATGAAGAGGGAAGCGAGATATATTTTCCATAATAAAAAGAAAGATGCCGAAATGCTGGCCGATAGTAAAAATGTCTGCAAAATTTTTTCAGAAAGTTGGGCTTACGACTTACGGAACAATCCGTACTGCCATAAGAAAAATTGTACACGCCGACCTAGTGACCGAAGTACAGAGCGTCCTTGAATTATGTAGGGAACAGTTTTCCAAACTGTTAACTAGCAACCGCACCAAAAAAACAGAGAGAAAGGTGAACCGAACTCATAGCGCCCGAAAGTGTGGCCTAAAAGTATGCTACACACCAATAAACCGGTTTCAAACCGGATACATGTACACT